GAACCCGAAGTGTCGCGGTCCGTCCCGCGACTGCCTCCCAGCCATCTCCGCAGCATCACCATCATCATCATCATCACTCGCAGAATCGCTATTCCCATTCCTACTCCAAATCTCAGTCCTATGATCGTCGCCCTCCCTCGAATCAAGCCGTCTTCGACAACATAGCCCGTCGCGATTTTGAAGCCTCCAGGGGTGCCCAACCCGTTCCGTTCCGTCGGGACTCCTCCAGGGAGCGTTCACAGGAGCGCCCCTCCACCTCCTACCGCTCGGAACAACCTTCACACAAACAGCACCGGAATTTGTCGGCACACGGTCATCAACGGGATAGCATCGACATGGCTACCGCGGGGCCCGTCATGGCGGAGGGTGTTGCGGGACATTCGCAGGCTGCTGCCGGCGCCCACCTGCACCCGACCAACTCCGTACAAACAAAGCGTCGCACGATGATCACAACCCCGTCGGGTCAATGGGCTTTGGGTAAAACACTGGGAGCAGGCAGTATGGGCAAGGTCAAAGTCGGAAAGAACATGGATACTGGCGAGCAGGTAAGTGATTCATCCAGTCGTCCTTCGGATTCTTTCCGTTCATTCACTGATTCCATACAGGTGGCTGTTAAGATCGTCCCCCGGCAATCTACGGAGGAACACCGCAGCTCGCGCGAGGCCGAAAGAGCTGATCGCTCCAAAGAGATCCGCACCGCCCGCGAAGCAGCCATTGTCAGCCTCGTCAATCACCCGTACATTTGTGGTATGCGAGATGTGGTGCGAACCAATTACCATTGGTATATGTTGTTCGAGCTCGTCAATGGGGGCCAGATGTTGGACTACATCATCTCCCACGGCAAGTTGAAAGAGAAGCAGGCTCGGAAGTTCGCCCGTCAAATCGCCAGCGCATTGGATTATTGCCACCGCAATAGTATCGTGCATCGAGACCTGAAGATCGAGAACATCCTGATCAGCAAGACTGGCGACATCAAAATCATCGACTTTGGCCTGAGCAATCTTTTCTCCCCGAGGAGCCTTCTCAAGACATTCTGTGGCAGTCTCTACTTCGCAGCCCCGGAATTACTACAGGCTAGACAATATACCGGACCGGAGGTGGATGTATGGAGTTTCGGAATTGTACTCTATGTTCTGGTCTGTGGCAAAGTGCCTTTTGACGATCAGAGCATGCCCAAACTTCATGCCAAGATCAAGCAGGGTGTGTTCGAGTACCCGCCCGGGCTCACAACAGGTTAGCTGACCTCTTTGCCATCTTCGCCTACGAAATGCTAATACTTCATTGTAGAATGTCGCCATATAATATCGCGCATGTTGGTAACCGATCCCAAGCAGCGTGCCAGTTTGTCAGAGATAATGAATCACCCATGGATGAACAAAGGCTTCAATGGGGCACCCGACAACTACCTCCCATACCGTGAGCCGATACAGCTCCCCTTGGATCCGGAGGTGGTCGAGAAAATGACCGGATTTGATTTTGGATCCGCGGAATACATTACAACACAACTCACCAAAATTATCGAGTCGGAGGAGTATCAGCATGCTGTAAGGGCCATGGCTCGTGACCAACCTCCTCCCAGCCATACCGAGAAGAAGCGCGGTGTGTTCGACTTCTACAAGCGACGAAACTCGGCCAGCAGAGACACACTGTCCGCTCCCTCCGCCGAAGCTGTTCAATTAGGCAACGACCCGGTTAATGCCTATAGTCCCCTTTTGTCGGTCTACTACCTCGTAAAGGAGAAGCTTGACAGAGAGCGGGTCGAAGTTAACCCTGGTGCGCTGGGTGTTCCGCACGCTAGCGGGGACTCGATGCTCCAGATGCCAGACCTTCCTGCGCCAGAGGCCGCTCACACCAACCAATACCACGTTCCTGGAGAGAAAGATACCGGGAGAAGGTCTCGTCCTAGGGCAAGGACCCATGGTGACGATGATCTCAATGATGGTATCAAGAACCTCCATCTGGCCCCGCAAGCAGGGCACTCTCCTGCGCCTCCTGCGTCGCAGCCGGAGACTCCGGTGAAGAAGGAGAGCACGGCAGCAGGTATTCTAAGGCGATTCAGTACGCGAAGGACCAAGGAGCGCAGTCGCGACCCGGAACGCGGCAGACTTGGAAGCCCACATACGCCGTCCTTTAATGTCCAGCCCCCTGCCGACTCGGCTTCGCCTCTTTCCAGAGGGTTTAGCGTTAAGAGAACCCGACGCGCGGACCCGTCTCCGACAGCCGTTCACACGGCTGGTAGTCAACCACAGCACCAGGATCTCCTTAAGGCTCCAGGACCCGCCGAGCCGGCCTCGCGGTCTAACAAGTTTTTGGAGAGATCTGCAAGTGTGAACTCGGCAGACTACCGAGCTCGCCGTTCTCGCAGACACGAAGCGGATGCGGCAGCCCAGCCACCTCCCACTAGCGGCTCCGACTACGCGAACGTGCAGAAAGAAACCACGCCCGGAAAGGAGGCCAAGTTGACCCGTACACACACAGCCCGGACAATGTCACTGGGTCATGCCCGACGTGAGAGTATCCAGGCTCGGAGGGCAAGACGGGAAGCAACGCGCGAGGCCAACGTTCCTGAGGAGACCGACGCGGACATTTCGGGCGCCGGTACGGCATTAGAAAGTGCCAACGAAGGAGAGGACCTCTCCAAGCCGGTGTATCTGAAGGGACTTTTCAGTGTTTCAACAACCAGCAGCAAACCTCTGCCAGTCATTCGGGCTGATATCATCCGGGTCTTGAAACAGCTCTCCGTGGAATTCGTTGAGATCAAAGGCGGCTTCAGCTGCCGCCACGCACCGAGCATCGACCTGGACAAAGTAGTAGATGTCGGACCCCCCAGCCCAGACCGTCAGGGACATGTTTCGGGCCATCGCCGCCGCATCAGCTTCGGGGGCTTTTTGAACCATGATGAGCGAGACGAATCGCGACACTACACGCCTCGGGGCCAGCGTCGGACTCGTGCTCCACCGGATCAAAGTTTCGTGACCGACTCTGAAGGCCCCGACGAAGATGATGGCTCTCGGGACCATCGTGACAGCGTGGTGGTGGGCGAACGTGTCATGGGAGAGACTACAACCCGGGTGCAGAGTGATACAGGCGAGAACCTGGTCCTCCGGTTCGAAATTCTGATTGTCAAGGTGCCGCTGTTCTCGCTGCATGGTATCCAGTTTAAGAAGGTTGCAGGCGGTATGTGGCAATACCGGGAAATGGCCAAGAAAATCCTGGACGCTTTAAGACTCTGAGAGTATTGTGAATGGGGCGCCTGCACGCAGATTGCATATTATTTTACTCGGGCCAAATGGCCTGAACCATGAGCATTTGCATGAGCATCACGTGTTTCTTTTGTTCCTTTTCCTTATGTTAACTTTCGGTCTGCATAATCCTTGAGCTGGCTCATCGTCCCCGGTAGCGGTTTGTCGTGGTGTACATTAGAACCGAGCAGGATGCATCATGGATTTCCGTCAGTTTTCTCCCCCCCGAGTCTTTGAACCCTTGACCTGTTGTATAATTTCTGGGCTGTTTTCCTATGTTAGAGTTCTGTCTCTCTGCAGGACTATGGAGCGTTACCATGCGTAGGAATGTCGGCCCTGTTTCAGTCACATTGAAGGTTATGATATAGGTAGATTTGATGGCAGTCATAATACTCTGGTTCGTTGACCATTTACCTGTGTCAGCGTTTACCTACAACTACAAAGCAACTCCTACAGAGTAGAGACCTGAGAACTGAGACCTTGCCTGATGTAGATTAGGCTGCTTGTAATAGTGTTCTAGAGTTCTCGTACCAATTCCGTGACACGCTATAGTAGCAGATGCTAGCCAAGAGTAAGAACCTTCTAAGCACTGCAAACAACATCTACTGTCTTGACAAGCCTTGTTTCATACTCATCTGTACATAGTTTGTTTAACTGTCGATTTTAAACAATACACCACTAGTATATACTAGCCTTGATCGACTGAATACAATCTTACAGACCCACTAAGTTCATACCCCAAAGCTCATCTCATCTAGGGAATATATCGATCAGAAAGCGGAAGCCAGATTATGCACCTGCCAGTAGCCAGTTGGCCCCTTCAGCGTGATGCCGTAGGGTTTAGCTTGGTTAGTCTAGGGACCGAAAGGACGCCAAGAGGCGAAGTATAGGGTGTTGTGCAGTATCTAAGCATTATTGCATAGCAGGGTACATTCAAGACCAGATCAATATACCTTAACCTGAAGTCCAGGTAAGTTTACACAGTTCTCAAGTCTGAAGAGGACATAAGTGCCAATTGTCTATAACTAACCTTGAACCATGTTTCAACATGATTAGTCATAAGGCGGATGACATGCCAAGAAATAATGCCTCTGGCACAAAAAGCATCAAATAAAGTCAGGTTGAATCGCTCTACTGTCATTTAAAGGGTGTTTATTTAGGAGTAATTTATCAGAGATGATTTGGGATATATTATTCTATATGTTAATATGTTTTTATTACTTATTTTCGAATTTTGTGGTATGTGCTGTCCTGATGCTTTTTTGCCTGCATTTGTTGTTTTGGCTGGGCGGAACTATGCAAAGATAAGACGGTTGGCGCGCCCTTTTATGGTTACTCTCTCAATACTCACCCTTATTGGCCAGATTAGAATTGCCCAATTTCTTTAGCAAGTGGTTTTCTGATCTCACGAATTAGCATAGCAGCAGAAGTTTAGGATAATGTATGATTTAGATGTCCCTTTTTATTTATCTTGATAATGATTTCTTAAGAAAAATTTGTCATTTGAATTTGATTTAAGCTTGTAGTGTTATACTTGTATAAGCTCATTTAAACTAATCAATTTATGAATCACCTGACCTGTATTTCCTAAAATAGACTAGTTTTACCTAATTCACTCCGAACTCCAAGACTTGATTTTAGTCTAAAGATCATCTTCAGCAGCTACCAGTCCCATGTCTCCTATCAGCGTGTCTTTCTTGTGATAGTTCTATACCCATGAATTTACTGCCTTTCTGAGCGCCTGTTAACTCTTCCACCATGGTTATCGATCTTACGCTTGACTCGGACTCTGAAGAGAGGAATGAGGTGAGCTGCTCTTTTACGCATTTCCGCTCTCTCATGTTTGGTTGGTGTCGTGTTATTTGGTGTTGTTCGTGCGGCTAGTTGTCTATCTAGTTTGTGAGCTAGCGGCTATACTGCATGCATGAATGTTTCTTGTTGTGAATACATATACCAAGGCACAGCATTACTTTATTTTCCTTTCTTTCTCAATCTCTCCAAAATAATAATATCTGACAGTCTAATAATTGATTTCTTTTCTGTTATTTTTGAAAGTTGAGACATGTTCTTGTGACCTTAACAATTTCGCTTCACTCATTCACTGCACCACTCCTGCTATAGTTCATGAGAGGATCAGCTGACTTGATACATCCAGAATCATGTGCCATCGTCAGCACTACCTCTTCAGAACAACATTCCCAAGTCCCCTTCTACTCTCACCCACCGCCCTGCATCCTCAGTTCCCTCGAAACGAAAATCTGAAGATGTAGATGAACTACTGGCATCCTTCCTGCCCCGCGGGCCGCAGTCACAACCACGGTGTTTTTCCCAACCACAACCGACTAATCGGGCCAATCAGCACGCCATCTCTATCGAGATCGAGGATGACGATGAAGATGAGGACGTCAAACCTGTCCAAAGTCACCGCCGAGTGCCAGCCGCTCGATCCTCTTCCTTTAACCCTAACACCGTTTCCCCTGCTGGCAAGGAAAACAGACCCCTGCAGATCAAGTCTAATGCAACATCTACTCGTTCATCTTCGCCCATCACCCTCGCAGCCACCAAACAAGAACCCCACCATAGCCAAGACGGGGATGAAGACAGAAAGCAGAGTTCCCTCTTAAGCACCCGCCGGACCCTCTCCTTCCAAACCCCTAGTCCCGGCCCCATCTCTCTCAGCGTAGTAATCCCTACGCCTTCTCGGCGCCAGCAACAGGAAATCGACTCAGCCGACGTGATCTCGGTCCCATCTCCTATCGGCCTCTCCGAGGACTTTTACCCAACTGACGCGTACGAGAAACGCGCCTTGAAGGGTGCATACCCCGTGGCCCGGAAAGTGGATCGAGCAGCCATTCCATTCACTATCGGCGCCCCTGGCCCACTGCTCACATCTAAACCGGATATCAACGCCCAGCTGCACCAAACCCTGCAGCAGAAACTCGCGAAGATCCGAGGCCCTAAAGTAACCTTTGCATCCGGGGACCAGCACCAGCTAGCGCAGTTCGCAGCCAACTTTGAGTTTGTGAATACGTATAAGCTACGACAAGGGGTCACACCTGTCCCAGAGGAGTTCCTTGCGGGATGCAGCTGTGACGGATTCTGCGATCCAGCAAGATGTCTCTGTCTCAGCAAGGAAGAGGAGACGAATGACCCAATGGTGCCGTACAAGCGGGCTGACGATGATGGGCGATTGTTGGTTCTCACGCCGGAGTTCCTGAAACGAAAAGTCATGATCTACGAATGTAGTTCGAGATGTGGATGTGATGAACGCTGCTGGAATCGAGTAGTGCAGAATGGCCGGACAGTCCGACTGGAGATTTTCTGGACCGGCAACCGAGGGTTCGGTATGGTCCATTCCCAGCTTATAGTCCTTACACAAATCCTCTATATATATACTAACGAAGAAGGAAAAAAAAAGGCCTCCGCTCCCCCGACCCCATCCGCGCAGGCCAATTCATCGACTGCTACCTAGGGGAAGTAATCACCAAAGAAGTAGCCGACATCCGCGAAGACGCGACATCTCAAAAAGGCCCCTCATATCTATTCAGTCTCGACTTCCTCGCCACCGGCGAAGACAGCAAATACGTAATCGACGGACACAGATTCGGCAACCCAACACGTTTCATAAATCACTCGTGCAACCCGAATTGTCGTCTAATTCCCGTGACCCGCAACCACGCCGACGATTACCTATACGATTTGGCTTTCTTTGCGCTTAGAGATGTACCACCCATGACGGAATTGACGTTTGACTATAATCCCGGCTGGGAGAAGGTTAGGAAGGTTGATCCGAATGCTGTGCCTTGTCTTTGTGGGGAGAGTAATTGTCGTGGTCAGCTTTGGCCGAATCAGAGGAAGGCGAAGAGGGGGTGATTCTTTCCTTCTTCTACTTTCTTTTATTCATTCTGCAATCTTTCAGCCCTCTTGTCGATTTCGTATCATGATATGATATCATATGCATCGCATGGGAGTGCGCGTTGAGTCGATGATCAGCCATATTGATTGCATTGTGCCTGCTTTTATTGTTGAGATCAGGTGAACATGCCATTATCCATTTCCTATCCCATGGTGTTTGTTGTTGGGCATCTTGCGTTCTTGCCTCGCATTGCATATTATTCTCTGGGGAAGGGTTCAACATACTCCATTGTTTTTGTTCAAACTTTTACATGTGAATTTCCTCGTCTTGATATCAGATACCCCGGTGGTCTCAATTACATCTTTCTTTTCCCCTTCACTTTCTTTCTATTCGAAAATTACGGAGTTTTGTGTGTGTACACACTGGTGGCATTCAGAGAAGTAACAAGTGGATACTGTATACTGTATTTTCAGCATTCTGTTATGTTCTATCTCATGCTGAGATGCAGAAGATAGGTGGACTGAAACAAGCAAGCAAATTGAAGGAATAATGAAATGTTCATTATGTATGCTAATCTGCAAGATATGCAGTTGAATTGTGCTGAATGATATGTCCATAGCAGGATAATATTCAGATAATCAGATTCTGAGAATCATTATCAGAAGATAGAGAAATAAAGTAAAGTAGCAATCAAACACGCAGCAAACCCTCTAAACAAAAATAATCCAAAGTAAACTCCACTGCACTCCACTCCAACCAAACCAAATAAATATCACAATTCACAAATCACAACTCACAAGGTATCCGCCAATTCCAATTCAATCCAAAAAAATCAAGTAAACCCGCTCAAATCCAAGCAAAAACAAACAACCCTAATTACTCCATCCATCCCAAACCCCAATACCATCTCGCATCGCCCAATAAAACAATCCATAAAATAATCCGAGGGATCATAATCACCCCCTCCCCTCCATAACCTCAAAAATCCCACCCATCACAAACCTCGGCTGGGAAGCACTCCTCTCCCACACGCCCCCATCGACCGCCCCAAAAACACTATCATCCATACTATCCAACGCGAACCCCACCCCCAATAACGGATCCACGGGTCTCGGCTCCATCAAATCCAATCCCAGCCGCTCAATCTTATCCTCATCCGCACGGGATCGCTCCTCCGAGAGGGCCAAATCGACCTTCGAGGGCCGTCGCCGTAGCAGCATCATCGACATGGATGAGGGGCGGTGGTGGTGGTGGTAGTACCGGAAGGGACTTTGGCTGCGGCTGCGATTATTACTACTTCTGCCAAAGTAGTAATCTTGGCCATAGTTGTAGTCAGAGAGGGAGGTGGTGTTGAGGCTGCCGATAGCGTTGTTGTAGTAGTGGTTATTGTTGAAGCGACGGCGGCGGGGAATGGGAGAGGAAGTGGGCGAGGAGGTGGGACTGGCTGTTGTGGAGCTGAGTGGAGTTGGGGTGGTGGATGGGATGGAGAGAGTGACGGAGAGGGATGGGGAGGATGGACCACCACCGCCGCTGCTGGGATTGGCATTAATGGCGTTGGAGGTAGTCGGGGGTGTGGATGGGGTGGGATTATTGTTGATGTTGCGTGTGTTGAGGTGGACATTTTGTTGTTGCGGTCGGATGAGGATGATGATGAAGAAGGGAAAGAAGTGTGGAGGTGGAGGGGGTGGGTTGGTTAGGGCGCATTTTTGGTTTGGTTGTGAGGATAGATGAGGATAAGTAGATAAATAGGTGGAAATGAGAATGAGGATGTTCTCTGGGGGAGAGAAAAGAGAAAAGAGAGAATGATAATAATAATAATAATAAAGTAAGATGAATAAAATAAGATGAGATGATGTCAGGTGGGTGCGGGCTGACCGACAATATGAATAATAAAGTAATTAAGATTGACAGATAAAATCCAATAAGGTATGGGATGAGATTGGATGTTGATTGATTGAACTCAATAAAAACAGAGAGCGATTCGGAGGGAAAATTAGATCGAGTCAGGTGGTCTGTCGGGTTTCGCCTCACCAAACTAAAGCAAAGCAAAGCAGGCAAAAGAGAAACTTCCCAGAAAATGATGTGGGGAGACAAATTAGGATCAGGTCAGGTACAATTAATGATCAAAAGCAAATATTAGTTGGTTGGTAAGTAAGTAAGTAACTGAACAGTTGAATGACGACAATAACGTCAGAGGAAGGAGGAGTCAGTCACGCCTCATTGTAGTATCAGGAACTGAACAAGAAACAGCCAGAAGTAACTAGAGCTTAGCAACAGCAGGAGTAGTTAAACCTTCTTATAATTACAGCCCAGACAGAGGTCAGTTAGTAGGGGGGCCCCATTTGCATCCAAATCATACAAAAGCGGCAGGTAAGGAAGGAGAAAAAGGGAAATGGAATTAAGTGTAAAAAGTAGACTTGTGGACTGGGGATAAAGATGATTGAACGAGGGCGACTCAGGAAGTCGCCGAACGCAGTGACGCTTTCCTTTTTCCTCGCCCCCCTCGTTGCTGCATCCGGCCATCTAAACTATCTTTCTTATCCCTTCCGACGGACCTCTCCTGCTTTGGCTTTTTTCCCAACTCCCCTTCTTTTCCGCCTGCGGACGTTCTCTGTTTTTTCTCCTTCCTTGTCTTTCATCCTTATACATACGTGTTCGTGCCTGCTCTCTCCCTACATCCGGATTTCAAAAACCCAACCTTCATCGTTGCCCAATCCGGTAATGCCAAGCATCCTGGAAAGCCAAGTTCATTGCTGAATATTAACCAATCAATCATCATCATCATCTTCTTCTTCTATCTATTCCTCAGTCTCTCTTTGTACTTTCTAGCTAGGAAAAGAAAGAAGGAAAAAAAAAAAGTACACATACACATACACATTATGTGAAACGCATGGATAAACTGACCTGCGCTCGGAACCAAGCAACGCAGTGGTTTTCGCCCACACGCCCCCGCTATGCAAAACATCTAGTCTCGTAGCGATCAACAACTCTCTCTCTCTCTCTCTCTCTCTCTCTCTCTCTTTCCCCCTCTCTTCACTCACTGACGGATCACACAAACCGGCAAATGAATCACCCAAAAACAAAACAAACTGACAGCAGATGATGGATGCATCGTAACATCGAGAACGGCTCGGCAAGTAAGTATGAGGAAAGGGATGAAAGCAAGACACGCCAAAAAAAAAAAAAAAAAACAGGAGTAGACCAAATATACGTGAAGAGAATCAACCAAGAAACAAAACCAAGGGTGAGAATTTGAAAATCATCCCCATGTTCACATCTTTAATTAGAAAAAAACCAAATCGTGGCAACATCGCTAATATATCAACCAACTCCATCTATTCCCTCACTCCCCCGATCGCCGTCGCTGTGTGAAGCTGCGTCGGATACTCTCGCCCCATACCGACTCGCCCAGCGACTGCATCACATCGTTCACGTTCATCGCGCTGTTCTGTCGCGAATGCGCCGGGCTGGTCTGCTCATCGTGCACATCTCCCCCACTGCCGTACGACGACGTCGTGCCAGCCCGCTCCCGCAGAGGCGACAGCGATGGGCTGATGCTGGACCATTCCGTCGCCGGGGAGTTCAAGACAGAGATCCGACCCAGCGGACTGGTATCGATGGGTGGCAGCTGGTACCGTGTGGCTCGCCCGGTCGGGGACGTTGGGGACAGCATCGGCTGCTGCGACGATTCCTCTCCGGTCAGCGCGTCGCGTGCTTGTTCTCGTAGCCCCTCGGTCGCCGCCGGTTCGTCGTGAGATCCGTCATCAATAAAGATCTCCGGCACCGAGAACTGAGGAACACCACTCATCCGGGCCGACTTCTTATGCTCAACCCGACGCCGGAACTCGCGAGACCAATACAGTGTGTCGAAGAAGCCGATCACTGTCTGCCGACGGATGGTTTCCTCGACACGCTGCAGTCGCGCCCGTCTGCGCAGGAACTCTTCCAGTCGCAGACTCTTGCTGTCGCTGATCACGTTGTAATGGGCCAGGATCATGAGACAGGAGTGGAACGAGATGCCGCGCACTGGGTCTGCCGACACAAGTACCTCCTCATAGAACGCGTTCAGCCGTTGTCGGCGGTTGCGCACTACGTCCGTTGGGATCTGTCGAAGGATTCTGGCCATCTTGTCCAAGTCCAGCCCGTCGACCACTCTCCGATGCGCAAGCAACGAGTCGCGCTTGTCAACCCGGCACTCTTCCATGATTTGGCCGATAGTAAATTCGCCATCGTAGATTCGCATCGAAAACACCCCCGAGAGCTCTCCCAGCAGTCGCGGAAACTGTTCTTTGGTGATATACCCGGTCCCGTCCGGGTCATATGTAGCCCATGCATGCTTGAATCGGCGGATATCCTCACGACTGATCGCATAGAGTCCACTGCTCTTCTGGTACACGTAGGAAAAGCTCTCAAAGATCAAGGAAGTGAACAAGGATACGAAGAGGTACATGCTAATAATGTTCCAAGCAATAAAAAGTGTCCGAGCCCACGGCGCACTGCCACAGTCGTCTAAGAAAAAGTTACCATCGTAGGTGCACGTCGGAGGACTCATCGTGGCATAGTCTTCCATGATTTCGTTCCAGCCTTCTCCACAACTCATCCGGAAGAGCAGCACCAGCGCCTTGGGAACATCGCGGAAGTTGAGGTTGTCGGTCTCCTGTGAACCAAACTTCGTGAGACCAAAGGCTTGGTTCATGGCGATCGCGAATACCAGGAAAAGGACAAACCACGTGGCGATGAGGTTTCCGATCGACGTCAGACTCGCCGCTGCAGTTTTGAACAGCTGGTCAAGCTGGTTGTTTCGGGGAATAATTAGAAGCGTGATCGAGACCAAGAAGAGCTTGTTCAGTTCGTTGATCACCTGGCTCGACGAGACGAATCTCAAGATCGTCGTGATGAACGTTCCGGAAACAGAGAGCAACGAATACACATCCCATGAACTCCGGCTAAACCGATGCCAACCCAAGCCAAGCATCCGGATCAGAACATTGGCAATGTAGACGAAGTTGAAAACAAAGAATATGATCTCTGTACCATATTAGCGGAATAACTCGTCTGAAAGCCATAGGAAGAGCAACTCACCTCGGGTTTGATCCCATACCTCCGGCTCGGGATAGTATTCCAAGACCAGCAACAACAGGTGGAGTGTAAGGATGAAAGTCACACATCTTGCCCATGGGCCATGTTTCTTAACGGCGACTCGGTAACTCCACATCTTCCATTGTCGGCTCTTATTGTCAAAGGAGCGCTTCGAAGGGGAGATTTGCCGGAGCAACTTCCTCAATTCCAACCATGATCGCTGTTCAGCAGTAAGATACGCTACACCAGTCTCTTCTGTGTAGTTCCGCATGAACACAGATACGAACAGCGTCAGGACGAAGACGGCACCAAGCAGGTTGAAGATGATGAAGAAGAGCCCATTCTCCGGCGCAACATAGTCCTGCGGCTGCGTATCCACACCAGTAATGCTCATAGCACTGTCCTGCACGTCGATCCAGCCTTCTTGAGAGACAATTTGGAACAGAATGAAAAGGGAATCGCCAAAGTTGTCAAAGTCGTAGTAGGAATTGTCGGCCACTCGCGGAGAGAGAACATCCCAATTGAAAGGCGCGTTCTTGTACTCACCAATGCACTGATCCAGGCTTCCTGAAATGTCGCCATCATTGCATGACACCATTCGTCCGGCGAAAAGATTCACTCCATAGATAGCGAAGGGGATCAAAAAGCTCATCGAAACAGCTGCGGCCTGTCAAGCGCATCAGATTTTGCCTCTGGGGCCTCATAAGGTGCGGAACTTACAGCGATGACCTTCCATCCTCCAACAATGATCACTGAATGGAAAGTATTCTTAGCGCTATCACTAACATTCAAGAGTCTCAACGCCCTAAGCGCCTTAAACGCTCCAATCGCTCGGGTGACGCCCCAATCTTCGAACAGGGATCCACCGACGCTGATCCAGAGCGTGATCAAAACTACTCCATCAAGAAAGCCCCAGGAGCCGCGAAAGTACGCATTAGGCGTCCAGAAAAACCCGTCCGCTATAACCTTGATGATAGCTTCTATGGTGAACAAGACCGCGAAGCCCATGTCAGTGTAGGTGAACCAATCCCTGTTCGTCGTAAAGTGATTCTTCTGGTAGATCGGTGTGGTTATGCAGGCCAGCAACACCATTGCGACAATTGCCGCGTAAATAAAGGCGGAAAATGCATACCAGACAGGCTTGTAAGGATCTACACCCTCCACTCGTTGAACTCCACGCCCCGGTCCCACGATACGCTGGCATAGCTTCCGGACGGGATGGTTTGGCGCAAAGATAAATAGTGACTTGTTGTAATTTGGATGTCGCATGAGATACTCTCGTTGAGCCCTTTTCCTCTGCTCAGCTGCCGAAACAAATTCCTTGGCCATCGTCCTCGGGTCTAGCTCGTCGAATGTTCGCGGGATATCCAGCTTGGAATAGAAAGGGTTTGGCTCTCGACGCATAATTGAAGTGGTGAACTTCGTCCACGTGCGCGAGAAAAATCCTGGCTGAGCTGTCTCGGCTGTGGCCGACTGTTCTAATGGAACGTTGTCGCCCGGCCGATTCTCAGGTGGTTCATCCTCATCAAGGAACTCTTGGACGACAGCATCCTTGAGCAACATCTCCAGTGCCGCTGGGCCGTGATCAAGAGGATCATTATACCGGCTCGAGTCCTTACCGAGCTTGAAAATCTTGGAAAGAGACAAGTTTCCCTGCGAGGCCATGTTGACTTGTTTCTGCTGCAAGAACGCTTTGACCTGCTGAAGCCGTTTCTCATCCTCCGAGACATCGAAGCTTTCCTGGATGACTGCAATGAACATGTTCAAGACAATGAAGTTGGCCAGGATGAACCATATTATCAAGAAAGCCGCAGAGATCCAAGCTGTGTTGTATGACACTGTGTACGTGGTAGCGTTATACAAGATATCCGTCCAATTCTCGCTCGACAAGATTTGGTACATCCCGAGAAAAGAGTTGTAGATGTCGGAAAAGGTGATGATTATGGTATCACCATCTGCGTCTTCCTCTGGAATCTGCCCACGAAAGAGCTGAGTTGCGAAGATGGAAGCAAGGAACGTAATTAAAAAGACAAAGAAGATCAAGTTCAGCAGACCAACTGCATTGCGGAAGACGACCATAATGAGATCCCTGGTCACCTTGAAGGCGAGCACAACACGATATACTCGAAGAATTTGGAAGAGTGTAAGGACATCGTACGCTCGTTCACGCTTGATTGCTGGAATCTGAATGATGCACGTTATTACGACAAGGCCCAGATCGACCCAATTCCGCGTTTTTTTGTGGAACGTGCGCCAATCCGAGGCAAATCTTAGGATGATTTCGAAAAGGAAGACAAAAGTTATAACAAGTTCTGTGGTGTCAATGAATTGGGCCCGATTATCGCTCATCGAAGCACTCCTCATAGCCTGGACGACAAGATCAAAAATGATAATGCAAACCCAGAGCCACTCGGTCTTGTCATAGAGACGCTTGATCGCACTGACCTTCCGAGAGGCCAAATCCTCTCTTTCAGTCGTGTCTATCTTTTTAACGGCAAAGGCACTGCGCTGGCTTTCTTCTCGGATAACCTGAAAAGCGTGGGTGATCACTGCAACCAGCAAATTGACCATCCACAAACTCAATATGAGAAGCCCGCATATAAAGAAAAGAGAAGACGCAAGATAATCGCTGTCGGCAGTATAGTAGAGTAGGTCGGTGAACGTGTTCGAGCTCATGATTACAAACACAAGCTCCAGCGAATTCACGATATTGTCAAAACTCACTGTCCCATTGTAGGGGTTGTCTCCTTCAAGACAAATAGAGCCTGCAGGACAGATGTAGCCTTTGGGAGAAGACGAACCGAAAGTATTATCCTTCTGAAGCCAAGGCATTTGTAGTCCAGTGGTCGAATTGACGTAGCCTCCACAAAACTGTAAGGAGCCGTTTGGATCATTCTGTGCATAATCGCTTTCACCGTCAACGCCAAGCCAGACACAGGTTCTCCGAAAGCTTGATTTGAAGCTTTGGATGCCGACGATAGCAAACAGAAGCCAGAAGAAGCCGATAAGGAACGCTACGTGCGCAAGCAATGGTGCCGCTTTTTTGAGACTGCGCAGGATAACCTTGTCTCGAATGTCAGTAAACGACGAGGCTAAGTGTATTCAACAGAGAACTTACAGAAGTACCATTGGTCAGATTCAGGAGACGAAGAATTCGAAGACAGCTCAGCATGCTGAACACATAGAGCTGCTGGCGAGTCTCGACTCCATAGATCGAGAGGAAGAATGACACCCAGTACGATACTAAGGCGACGAAATCAAGCCGATTGAACGAGTGCCGCAGGAAGGCACGGTGGGCCAGTCGCACGCGACTCTTCTGGAGGGGGTCATCGGCCAATTGATTCTCCAATTGATTCAATCCGCCCGTGAAAGTGCGTATAATGGAAGCCTGGGGCTGTTCTGACATGGCAGACTTCCGCACTGAGAACTGCCGCTGTGGTATGATCAAGTTCTTCCCTTTCTCGACAACTGCTTTCCTGAACCCCATCGACCGGTCTAGAGTGCTGTATTCGGCAGGGTTGATGATCAATCCTGACACGAGGATTTTAGCGATAATCTCGAGCGTATAGATAATGAAGATGGCGAAGTAAGGATAATCCATGGGATTTGCTCCCCAACGGACAGCCCGGGGATAACTCCAGACAGAGCGTGCAGATTCAATGGTCAGCAAAATTGTTTGGACCACAATCACAATCAAAATAAAGGGTTCCGTGAACGGATGGACGAGTATATCACACAACCACATCCGCAGGGCATTATCTGGGCCTAGAATACCCAGCGATTTCCCTCTCAGAGGGTTGCTAATGCCGCGCCATGCCTTATTGTTTGATGGCAATTTCTCTCCAGGAGCTGAACTGTTCAATGAACTGGTAGACGGCGCATCATGCGCATAGTCTGGCAAAGAGGGCAGTGCCGGGGGCTCTTCCATTCGCGCATTCTTATGCGATTCCTCCCTGAGGATCGATTGTTCCACCACTTCAGGTTCGTTACTAAGGTTGACAATACGCTGGGACATCGACTTCATCATGGAACTGGCCCGCATCAAGGCAGATCCGGAAGCCGAGGGAGACAGCGATCGCGACCTGTCCGCTGCATTGCTTCCGCCGCGGGATCTCCCCACGAAACCACCCTCCAGATTGTGTAGTTCGTCACCCAATCGTGACCCCGAATGGCTGGTAGCAGGGAATTGAACCGAATTTGTACCGCCCTGATCATTCTGGTGTCCATTGTCTGAGCCGGATGCTCCGCTTATGGGCTGGACGTTTTGTGTCTCCGTCAATCGTGCGGTGTCGTTGTAGGTGTCGTTGTAGGTGTCGATGTGGGTGAGACAGTGTTCGGCTCCGTCGAGCGGCACGGTATCTAAGTCAACACTGGAAGGCGCTCGACTATGCGTCGGGGCAAGAGAGGTACTGGACGAGGGGTCAAAATTGAGGCCGAACGAAGTCGCTTGAGCAAATGCCCCCGGATCTTCGATTGCGTCTTCATCTTCTTCATGGGAAATGTGAGGATGCGGGCGCGCATTGCCCGCCGCATTGGCCGTTTCAACGGGTGAATCCACCGCTATGCGCTCATAGTTTCTCCCTGTCCGGCCCCTACCGGTCAAAGATCGGCCCAGCCTTGTCGCAACACCAGCTGGACCTCCACGTTCATGGTCTGGCGATGAGAGATCCTGCAAGGGGATTGAGTGATCGATGTGGAAATTATCGTCGTCGGGGCCGCGGTCATGGCTACTTGAAGCCATGGTGGGCAGTCGTCAGAGTGCTAACCGAAGGCAGACATCGCAGGCTGTTCAGGAAGAAGAGAAAGAAGGTCAGAAGGGCCCTGGGGAGCGTTGACGACCAAGGCCAAGTAAAAGCACGCCGGGGAAAATATGGGACAGACTCCCCAAGTAAGTTAAAGTAGTACGAAAGGGCTGACGAACTTTGGTTAAGTTAGCGGTGGCACCCCGTGCGGAAACGTGGGCAAGGATCCAATCAAGCCAGGCAGCCGTCAAGAAGCAGCGGGCATGATGGGGACAGGAACCCAAACGTGTCGACTTCCAGATCACAGTGATGGTTATTATTGCTCGGTATGCGCAGCGGAGCTTTGGCTGGACGGCGCCAAAGCGGCCAAAACTGGGGCGGATTCGGCAGCGGCGGCCTCTGTATGGCCCATTAGCCAGGTTCTCTGGCCCAGTGATTGCTAAACGTCTGAGCCTTATGAATGGTCCGGGTCGAGTTCGTTCGACACACGGCCAATTATTGAGGGTGGATATGGATGGGCTCTGGCTTGGAACGGGGCTTGACTTGGGAATTTTCCCCCCTGCTGCGCCCGGGAGGGGAAATATGCGCCTCCCCCCCCCCATGATGCATTTAAGTAATAATCTAAGTACGGATGACTGACATTGACTTGACTTGCTTTGTTCGGTCCCTGACAGGATAAGGATGGATCGCTTGATGTCCACTCCCGATACGGCAATTCCATTGATATCTGTTCCACCTCTTTTCCCTCGGTGGAGGAAGAGATCATCAAGTCGGAAACTTTTTTTGCCCTACGTACTTCTTCTTTTACTTTATTTTTATTCTTGATTCAGTTTGAAATTAACGGGCGGAGTCCGCCAATACGCCACACCAAACACATTATTATTAACGGTATTGATATTACCAGTATTATCATGCTGCCTACCGACCAGTGCCCTTCTTACCCCACCCACCTCATGCCAAAAATAACCCATGACAAGTCTCTCTCTGCTTAGGAGGGGATGAGACATCCATGCAAGGCCGCTAATGGATTTCTAAAACATCAGTGGATAGTTACAGAATGGCTGGCTGAAGATAATAATAGTAAAGAAAAAAAGATAAGGAAAATAAGAAGAACCCTGTCAACATAACATAATCACTGCTATTTCGAACCCAATCAATCGGTGTCCATACGGTTTCCTTCAGCCGAATCCTTAACATGATCCCGAACGCCTTGGAGGAATGCCTCAACAGCATCACCACCACCCAATGGAACCCCTCCTCTACGCATAAATCCTCCATTTGCAACCGGAATTTTTAGAGCCTCGCTGATGCTCGGTAATCCACCATCCCTGATCGCCATCGTCAAGCTTGCTAGACTCTGCGCAAATTGAGGTGAGTGTAGAACTTTGCGCAGAATCTCCTTCTTTTGCGTCAGTTCGAGGGATCCCAGGGCGGCTTGAGCGATGTCCGGGTCCTGATCAGCTGCCGCGGCTTCCTCGAGGTCATTGTCCTGCGCTAGGAGAAGCAGCGACGGCGGCAGGAAGCTCAGGAGATTGTCAACCATTTGTTCGTCCGCAGATTCCAAGAAGGGCAATGTAGTCGAGGTTGTAAGTAGATCTTGCAGAGTAGTGAAAGGTCTCTCCGGGTCTTGGGATTGCCGCGAGCCTCCATGCAGCGACTGCAGGAAGCTCTGCACGACAGATGAAGGATCCGAGTCAGCGGCGGCCCTGTGAGCCAAGAATGCTAGTTAGCTTGGATTCATGAAGGGGAAGGCCTATAATCGTGACTAAAATATCCGAGCATATTGAATATCTCGGCTAGTAAAGTTCAAGACTAGAGACAAATAAAACTGTCGAGATATGTACCTACGCTCTTCCACCATCGGCACCACCCTCCCTCGATCCTTGGCCTTCCGCCCGAACATCACCGCCAGTCGCATCCGGACCTGCTCCTCCACTGTTCCCTCCGTGGTTGTGGTTCGGGTCATGGTCCACGCCTTCGACATCCTCCATAGTCTCGTCGTCATCGCCGCCCGAGGGACCGCCTCGGGGAAGGTTGGCGATCTCATGTTCTACATCCACATCTTCGCCCTGGAGCAGCCCGTTGACAATCTCTCCTAGCTTAAGATCTCTTTGGCTGAACCAGCTCGGGTTTCCGTCCTCATGCTGAGACTTGGATTGTAGCCAGAAGAGGTACCGTTGGGAGCTGGAGGAGAACTTCAAGACGTAGATACGACCATTGGTAGGTGCTGTAGAGTCGACAGGCTTATAAGGTACGAAGCAACCATCCGAGGGAACCATTACCAGGTCGAGCTCGGGTTCCGTGTGGGGAGCAGATCTGGGGCGCCAGCAAAAGTGTACCAGCTCATCTTCGGAGTAGAGATAGATGTAACCGGGGGTGGGCTTTGGCTTGACGACGGAGGTTTCACCGGACGTCTATAAAAAAATAAAGCAGTTTCAGTAAGCAACATGTTGATGGAGATGCAATGAAATAGTGGCGTGAGGGAGGAAGCTTCGTATTCAAACTAACCTCGAGGTCACAGATACCCGCTTTGAAGGTAATGATCGGAGCTATAGACATGGTGAAATATGGTGTAGGCTAAAGGAAGGTAGCAAAAAAAGACTGTTGAAAATATACACAGATTCTCTGAGCTAGAACTTTGATGATGAGCGCACACCAATGATGCGGCAAAGAGAATGTAGGTTGTGGATTGACGGAAGAAGCTGCTGAAGCAGTAATGTACGTCAGTTCGTCATCCGCAAACAAGTCGGCAGGTAACGTGATGAAGATTGGAGGAAGCTTGGGTTTCTGCGGAATTGGTATCTACGGGTGACCGGAAAGGCGGACGGCAGAAAAGACACGTATTCTGCCTGAGGCCACAAAAGCAGCGGTTATCGGGCTATCGCTATCAAAGGGGCGCCGAATCGGCACTAGCGCCTTTCGGCTAGGGCTCGCGTCCACACAAACTCACACTTTCCCGTCCTGGGGCGCAAGTAGCAAGTCACACATCAACTCCAACAACCACCCGCCGTCGACAACCACCACCCTCCCCCTACATTCTTTTCAGACCACCTTCGTCCCCAGCAGCCAATATGTCGGACTCTACTGTTGGCCAGACGAAGCAGTTTGGAAAGGGCCAGAGGACCGTCCCTCACCCGGCCCAGAAGGCCCAGAAATGGTACCCCGTTGATGACGAGTCGCAGCCCAAGAAAGTCAGTACCACACCCTGTGCAAGAGCCAGAAAATGAGATGGAAGAAGATGCGGTTTCGTTATGAACAAATGCGACGGGTTTGCGCTGGTCATTGGGAAAGATTGAACTTCCTTTATATAAAAGCGGAAGGTTTGGAGGAAAAGTCAAAGATTCAGGGCCAGTGTTCTATACCGCATGAGTTGATAAGGGAATCGCATCTTGGAGAAATCGGGGCCCCGGAATTCGGAATAGGCAAAAAGGAATTGGAACAGGCATTCTGACATGGTTTTTTTATATACATATAGGTCCGCAAGGCTATCCGTCCCGCTAAGGTCCGCGAGAGCCTCCAGCCCGGTACCGTTCTGATCCTCCTCGCCGGCCGCTTCCGTGGAAAGCGTGTCGTTCTCCTCAAGCACCTCGAGCAGGGTGTTCTCCTCGTCACCGGTCCCTTCAAGATCAACGGTGTCCCCCTCCGCCGTGTCAACGCTCGTTACGTGATCGCCACCAGCACCCGTATCGACATCAGCGGTGTTGACGCCCAGACCCTCGAGAAGGTCTCCGCTGCCGACTACTTCACCAAGGAGAAGAAGGCCGAGAAGAAGACCGAGGAGGCTTTCTTCAAGCAGGGAGAGAAGCCCCAGGTATGTGCACATACACACCCGTGGTTTGGCTCTTCCTCCGAGAGGAGTCCAACCTATACGGAAGTGGCCGGATGAATACTGATATAGCGATTTTTCTCAATCAACAGAAGAAGGTTGTTGCCAGCGCTCGCGCTAGCGACCAGAAGGCCGTTGACCAGTCCATCCTCGCCTCCGTCAAGAAGGAGGCTTTCCTCGGAAGCTACCTGGCCAGCACCTTCAGCCTCCGCAACGGCGACAAGCCCCACGAGATGAAGTGGTAGATGTGTGACGCGGCGGCCGCGGGTTCGGTAGTTATTGTGGAGGAGTCCTGCGAGGGGCGGCGGCTAGAAACCCCCTTTTCAATCTTTTGCAAGCAACTGGTCGAACTCCACAACCGGCACTTGCAAAAGGAAAAGGGGGGGTCGCAGGAGGAAACAGCTCATGAAGTATATGTAACTCGATTCGAGCCTCATGTTTGCTTAGGATTGCGGTTTTTTTTAATGCCGAGGTTAAAAAAGGAAAGGAAAAACCGGTTGTTATTTCATACTTGATCTCCCCCCCAAAAACTGAACTGTCTTCCTCCAGCAATTCTGGCCGTTTGCACAACCCCCCCTTCTTGCAGTCGATAACTTTGAGCCGAAATGAAAAGAAAAAAAGAAGAATACCATTTCCAGCTGTTCAATTTTATGTTACTACACTCTGTTCACTACGACTATTCCAATTTCTTTCAATATCAGGTTCGGGCGGAAAAATATCAAAAGAATTGGGCATTTTATTATATCGACGATCCACTACTATTCTTCCGGGGTAGATCAAGTTGTAGTAGATCATTCATATCTATGATGCATGACGGTATGATATTACTAGGTAGTATACTTTGTGTGAACTTATCTATTGGCAACTGGACATTGCCGGGATTCCGAATGCAACCCCAGCCCCAGCCCCACATGCACATTCACATTCACACTGATAACGATAACATTCATAAAAAATACTATGATAGATAGCGACTCTTCTATGAAACACCAGACCAATCCCAGCCAAGTCGAACCAAACTCCCTGCCAGACAATATAACCCATATTGCGCACATAACATCAGAAATAGCATCACATCATAAAATACAAGATCCGTGAGCACATAACAACGAACCAACCAACCTCACACACCAAAGATATACTTAACAACAAAATATATATCTCCCCACACTGCCTCACAACAACTGCCTCAACTTCTTCTTATGCTTTCTCTGCGTCTTCTTAGCATGCGAATCCAAAGCCTCCTGCACCTTGGCCTCAAACATTTCCTTCCCCCTAAGAACAGGCGTAGGCTCATCACCCTCGTCCTCGGTCTCCGCGATCAGTTCCTCACCCTCCTCTTCGCTAATCGTAGTCTGACAAAACCAATCCGCAATACCCCACGGACCGAAGTTCCCGGCCGCGCGATTCAACAGATGCTTCTCGACTCGACGAGCGATGCCGCCCAGGAGGAAGAAGTCCATCGGCATGGCGGAGTACCCCGAGTAAGCTAAAGTCTCTTCCAGCGAGACGATGCTCAAGTATATGGCGTAGGTGATCATGTGGAGGCGGAGGAAGACGGCGGGGAGTAATGTGGGGACAGCATTACCGAAGAGGTAGGGAATAGGGTGGTCGTAATGGGCGGTGGAAGGGTAGGGCGCGTGAAGCGAGTGGTACCAGGTTTGGTGGAGGGAGGAGATGTAGCGCGTGATGCGGTACTTGTCGTTATGGAGGATGAAGCGGTGGATGGTGTATGCGAGGATCTGGGAGTTGCGCGCGCGTGATTAGTGAGTGTCGTTGCGGCTGATCGCCAACACTGGGAGTGTAAACATTTCGAGACAGAACTTACCTCTCGGAGTAGTAGGACACAGGCGAGGTGGAAGGCAATGTTCCAAGGTATGATCGGGATCGAGAAGGATACTTTGAGAGCACTGCGCGTATTGAAATACCCAATGCGAAGAGTTTCGATGGTAGCTTGCACGGCGATGCTTATGAAAATGTTGAGGAACGACCATCCTAAGACTTTGAGCTCTCGAGTTCGGACCCCTCGTCTCTTGCTTCCAGTCGGGAGGCCCTGTTCACCATGCGCCTTGAGCAGCACGGCGGCTGAGGGGACAAGCGCATCGAATAGAAAGAGCAGCGCCGAGGGGAGGATATAGAACAGCAGTCGCACGCCTATGGAGCCGAACAGTTCAACCTTGAATGGGGAATGCGACAGGATGAGAGTTGTCCATGTCATATAAAAGAAGATCAAATTAAAGGTGGTGTAGGAGGGGGTGTAGGTGAAGAGACAGAAGAACAGAGCTGGGAGAGCCAAGACCCGATTCATGGTGTCGACGGCGATTGGGAGCTATTGAGGGTTCTGAAGAATAACGATCTGGCGGTAGGATCACAGTATCTAGCATCCCCTTGCATGCTTTCGCAGGCGCATCTTATATAGTGGGACTAGGGACAAAGGCGCAAAGTAGAAGAAAGTTTTGTGGTTATCGAAGTGAAAGACAGCCGCAGGAACAATGGAAGAGCAAAGTGCCTGCAGCAGCCGCCCGACGTCACGACCCACTAGCCCTAAAATGGCGCCTCGCTTTGTCAACTCTGCGGCTATTTTCGGCGGCGGACAAAGGACCCATCCAAGCATCCGTTGGAGGTTCCAGACCTACCAGTACTTAGCTTCAAAGGCTTCGTTCGTTGCAAGTGTATCCCCATTGGTCTACGCCTCTCCGTTCTACAGACGTTCCAATCCCTGCTCCGAGATCCGAGATTACAGTACAGCCTATGGAGCCTGGCCGTCAAACTAGAACCTAAAGACAGTGGAACAATGATGATGTTGAAATTAATGATCAATCGGGATTTTTCAGTACATGATACTCCAGGCGAACATAATAATGGTCATAAGGATAAAGAGGCACGCTCAGGGTATCTAACGCATACACCAAACCACGACACACAAAGCATAGCAAGACCCCCATCGATTACTCTCTCCGGCGACCAGGGACGCCGTGCTTCTCACCCCAGCTCCAGGCCTGCCTCCTGAGATCGGGGCTCACATGCAAGAACAACAAGTTGCTGAGCCAGCCAGTGAACGTATCCTTAATGAAGGAGTTCCGCTGGCTGCCTCCGAGCGCTGATCCCTTCATGACATCGCCAACGAACATCGTGGTGATCATGTACTCACCCCTCTCCAGGGCCTTGATAGCAATGTTTGCAACTTCTCTAGGTGTCTGTGGCTTATCAGCAGCCTCCAGCTTCTTGGTCAAATCCGGCTTGAGCTTTTGTTCGTTGTCGAATCCAGGGCTGAGAATCCCCATGGGGAAGACGGTATGGATCTTGACGTCCGTAGCTGGAGCCTCCGAGCGGCACTTGTCGGCGCGAGAACCGTTGTACATCTCAATTTCTTGGCTGAGAGTATCAGACAAGGAGCGAATCGCAGCTTTGGCAGGCGAGTAAGGGGCATAACCAGCAATGGGCACAAATGCGAGGGTAGAGCATGTGAAGATGAGGTGTCTAGGAGGTAGCGGCATCTGCTGGCTGGGAGTAATGGGTACAAGCCACCGTCTCAAGATGGCATGAGCAGTGTTGGCAGCTGTCCAGTACACCGTATCCATTTGATCCCTCAATGTCTGAACCGGGGTCTCTGCAAAGAAGCCGGGACTGCAGTATCCCGCACAGCACCATACGATATCGGGGGATTGTCCGTGGTTCCATTCGGTGACTTCGGCCATGACACGGTCACACTCGGCAGCATTGGTCAGGTCTGCACAGATGTAGTGGAATCTCTGACGCTCGGCTTCAGCCGCGGCACCCTTTAAGAACATTATAAATTAGCTGAGGTTCACCCTGAGACCAAACGTCAACTTACCTTGACAGTTTCAACGGCATCCTGGAGCTTCGACTCCGTGCGTGCGACGAGCACAACATTGGCACCCTTCTCTGCAAGCTGGCAAGCCACGGCCTTGCCCATCCCCTCCGAACCTCCCGTGATAACAACGGTCTAAAGAAGAGGTTAACCGACTATGCCACGGGCAAGAAATTAGAGGAACAATGAAAACATACCCTGCCCTGAACGACGAACTGGTTACGACCGAATCCGAACATTTTGCTAGCAGAGTATAGGAATAGTCCGCAAAGAATGGTATAAATTCCCAGCGTCGTCGGGGAAGAGTCGTAAAAGATGGTGGGTATCAGAGGATGCATAGGAAAGGAGAAAGAGAAAAGACTTTGGGGGAGAGGAGAGAAAAAACAGATGTCTGGGACTGTTCGATGCTTCCTGTTCTGGGACAATGGCCGATGATGAGAGAAGGAAGCGGTATTCTTGTTGCTTTGTGGGTAAGATGATAGGAACAGTTCCAGATAGGAAGGCGCGATCCTCCGCGGAACATGGGCCCACCAAACGGTGCAAACACCCAATTGGAGACTAGTGTCTGCCGGGCGGTGAGAGTGTCCCTCCCAAATTTTTATTGCGAAAGTTTATCGATTCGCTGCGGAGGATCTGGTCCGTACTAGCAATTCTACTTCTCACTCCCTCATACACATTTTATCATGGGTAAAAAGAGAAAGGCTGGCGGTCGCCCTGCGGCCCCCAAGGCGGACAAGCATGGCCCGTCCAAATTCCATATTGAGGAGCGATTCGATGATTCGGAGGATGAGTTCCAGACCGGTCGCGACCAGATCCTGCTGGAAGAGGCGCCGGAAGCAAAGAGACGTCGGAGGGTGGCTGAGGAAGGTTGGTTGCACAAAGCGCATGCTGTGGGTATGTTTAACTAACGGGATACGCTTCTAGAGGAGCTTCTCCAGGCATCGGACGAAGAAATCATGGGATACGATGACGAGGACGACGAGGATGATCTAGATATTGATGATGAGGAAGACTTTGACGAAGGTGATGACTACGATGAGGACGACATGGATGGTGTTCAGTCTAAATTCAAGTCGAAGCGCGGCGGCAGTCCGGGATCTGAAGACGACGAAGAAGGTATCGCCGCTTGGGGCTCTTCCAAGAAAGATCTTTACAGTGCGGATCAGATCGAAACGGAAGCAGACGCTCTTGAAGAGGAGGAGGAAGCTAAGCGACTTCAGCAGAAGCATCTGCAGGCCATCAATGAGGAAGACTTCGGCTTCGACGAATCTGAATGGGTCGAATCCGGCAAGGACCAGAAGGATGCAGAGGATGGCGGTGAGGTGACAGAGGTTCTCCCGCAACTGGAGATTACGGAAGATATGAGCGAAGAGGAGAAATTGAAGATACTCAAGTCCAGATATCCCGAGTTCGAGCCCCTAGCGAAAGACTTCGCCGACCTCCAGTCCACGCATCAGGCCCTCGCCAAGGCCGCCCAAAGCTTCAATGCCAACGATGACTCCGAAAATGCTCCGGAATCCGCACCGGTTACCGTCGTCAAGTTCCGCGCTCTGTCCGCTTACCTTGGTACGATCGGCATGTATTTTATGCTCCTGACCTCTTCCACCGACAACTCCGGCAAGCCTGCTCCACTATCGCCTGCTCAGCTACGTGCCCACCCCATAATGGGTTCCCTAGTCAAGTTCAGAAAACTCTGGGAGACTGTCAAGAACCTCAGTGAACCCGAGCCGGAGGCATCCGAAGCCGAGGACGACTCCGAAGTTGATGAAATTATGGCCGACGCACCCACGCCCAAGCAAAAGAGCAAGAAGGGCGAGGAGCAGACTTCCAAGAAGAACAAGAAGAAGGCAGAGAAGGTATCCAAGGCACAGCGCGCCGCCGAAGCAGCACAAGCCGAGGCAGAGGCACGACGAGCAGAGCGACTCCGACAGACCGAAGCCAACCTCGCCGACCTGTCGAAGCTCGTTTCCGGATCGAGCAAGAAACGCGCTGCCCATAAGACCAAGTCGACCAAGGAAGCCGACGACTCCGACTTCGGTGACGAAGACGCCCTCACAGCCAAGGAAGCCGAAGAGAAGGCCAAGCAGAAGCGCTCTCTCCGGTTCTACACATCCCAACTCGCCCAGAAAGCCAACAAGCGTAACGCAGCCGGCCGTGACGCAGGTGGTGATGCAGATCTACCTTACCGTGAGCGTCTAAGGGACCGCCAAGCCCGCCTGAACGCCGAAGCCGAGAGACGTGGTAAACAGAAGCTGAAGGACTCCGAGCAGCTAGGCGGCGACAGTGACGAGGAAGACCACCGGGTCGCCAAACAGCTCCGTGGCGACGAAGGGTCCGACGATGACGACTACTACGACATGGTCGCGGCTCGTGGCAAGCAGCGCAAGGACGACAAGAAGGCGCGCGCCGAGGCCTATGCCGCTGCGGCTCGTGAAGGCGGCCACGTTGAGATCCAGGAAGAAGTCGGACCCGATGGCAAGCGTGCCATCACCTACCAGATTGAGAAGAACAAGGGTCTTGCGCCCAAGCGCAGCAAGGACTCTCGCAACCCTCGTGTCAAGAAGAGAAAGAGATTCGAGGAGAAGAAGAAGAAGCTCGGCAGTATTCGTCAGGTATACAAGGGTGGTGAAGGTCGTGGTGGATATGGTGGTGAACTTACGGGTATCAAGAAGAACGTTGTTAAGAGTGTTAAGCTCTGATTCTAGTTCTTCTGGTTCTGTTTCTTGGTACTGCGGTAGCACAATTGGAGACATACATTACGGGCGTTCAATGTGTGCGAAAATGGGTCTTTGTGTGTATATAGATAATTTTCTTCCCGATGATACAAACCTTTGTCTGACTGTTGGATGATATTGCTGGAGTCAGCTTCCACTAGTAAAGTAGACTGGCCGTAGCATAAAATATTGAATTACAGAAGGCCATAAAGGCATCGGATAGTACTGTAACTGGCAGTAAGTAGTTGCTGGGGTGGACCGTTATCCATCCGGGTGAAGATAAATATATACTAATCGGTTGGCAGTCAAGAACCCGCACCAGATCCCTCGAATAATTTCTCCAGCCTATCTCTCATCAACTCAACATCACAAGGCGCAGACAGATTCAACGACAAGAACTCCCTCGCTAATTTGTCCTGGAAGCAAAACCAGTTAGCCCTGTCGTTTCTCAACCGGGGGACCAGGAATAGATAGACAAGTATATCCTACTGCATCTTCTAGAGCCTGTGTTTCTTGAGCCGAAAGGACAGCGCAAGCGGCAATCAGATTTTCACCACGAGCGGATAGTGAGGCAATTTCGTCTGCTCGATCGACAATTGTCTGGCTGATACCACTCATCGCGGCGCATCTGTATCGTGCCCAGTTAGAGCATAAACCTGGATCCTTGATTCTTCCAGAACGCACATTGTCCCAAAGCTTTGATCGCTTCGTCCTAAGCGGAAACTATGCCATGCGTCTTAGTGTCTCCTGCTTATGATCGTCGTGCGAGGGTTGGCGCTATACTTATAGAGATAGGTGATCTGGTCTTCAGCCTCACCGGGTTCTTCATGCACACGGACCTCCATGTGGCCGAGTTGTAACTGCGGCCTAGGTTTGAGATAACCGTTCGCGAGAATCTCATGGAAGTGTGT